CTAAATAGAATGATAAAAATAAAAAATAAAAATATAAGAAGGGAAAAACCTAAACCAAGCCAATTCACTGGCTAATTACAAAATTATAGTCGTTAACATACCAGTTAACAACATCTACTAATTAAAATTTAACGTTACTAATTTAAATTTAATCGTTAAACATTTAGGGCCGGGTGTGATTCATGAGGAGAAATGCATAAAGCAACACCCCCCTCTCTTACGTGGCTACCCCTTAGTGGGTGCCCTAAACCCCAACTCCAGAGTCTTTTTTAGATTGCTTCAAACCTAACTAGGGTCATCGAAGATGCGGCTTTGGGGTGCAATTCTACTACACAATTTTTTTCCATTTTGTCAGCGGGTTGGGAATTTTTCAATCTTTATTCCATCAGAATATTTTATCTGCTCAGCTTGACTGCAATGGGGCTAGTGACCGTATACTTTCTGTTGCTCTATCAATGTTTGAGTCGTCCTCCACTCTAAATATCACCTGGAATGCTTCTGTCTCGCCCTTGCGCTTGAACTGCAGCACCGATGGATGAACCGACACAGACCCACTCTCTGGTGCCTCGATAGATGCCGTGTAGTTCGTCGCATCATCGTCCACGTTCGTCACTCGCCTCTGCACGACTTTGCTGCGGTGCAAATCGGAGGTGGCAATGGATGGATAGTTGAGGTCTGTGGGGTTGTCGGGCTTTGGTGAAGTTTGCGTGAGGATCTGAAGTTCAGTCTGGTTGTATCCCAGACTGCAGAGATATCCAATGTAGTCTTGCTCGTCGGCATCATATACTAGGCCAGGGTGTGCAGCGGCATTTGGATTTACATGCCCACCATAATAAAAGGGTGATGCAGGAGCTCGTGATGAATTCTTGATTGGTTCTCCAAGATTATCGAATGAGTAACCTGTTTTGTTTTGAAGTGTCAGTAACAAACAAAGATGTATCACTTAGTTACCTGTTGTTACTATGGCTGATTTGATTGCTTCTGGACTCCAGGCTGGACGATAGGATTTTAGTAGGGCGACAATCCCAGTGACGTGAGGGCAACACATGGACGTTCCAGAGTCGAATTTGTATGATATTTGAGAGTTGTTGAATTGTGTCTTTGCTGCTAGAACTCCTGGAGCTGTAATATCGGGCTGAAAGAACAAAAATCTTCAAAAATTACCAAGAAAAAAAGCGAGAAAACATTTGAAAACCCTTGAGAATGTCTGCTTTAACCGGAAGTCAATACGGTTGGGACCAGAGGATGAAATGGTGCCATGAAAGGAGCAGGCTTTTGATTTCTCAATGTTATCTGATGCTGTATATCCGCTATAGGATCTCTGCCAGACACAAAGGTAAGAAACAGAAAGAAGAA